TCTGTATACTGATGCTTTATTAAATTCATTTATCAGTTCTATTAGTTTTCTGGTGGGATATTTGGGGTTCTCTATATAGTATTGTGTCATCTGCAAATAATGACAATTTTACTTCCTTCTTTCTAATTTGGATGCCTTTTATTTCTTTTTCTTGTCTGATTACTGTGACTAGAACTTCCAGTACTATGTTGAATAAAAGTGGTGAAAGTGGCCATCCCCATCTTTTTCCTGATCTTAAAGGGAAAGCTTTTGACTTTTCCCCATTGAGTATGATGTTAGCTGTGGGCTTGTCATATATGATGTTTATTATGTTGATATATGTTTCCTCTATTCTCACTTTGCTGAGACGTTTTATCATAAATGGGTGCTGGATTTTTGTCAAAAGCCTTCTGTGCATCTATTGATATGACCATATGATTTTTATTTTTCATTTGTTTATGTGGTGTATCACATTAATTGATTTGCAGATATTGAACCAATCTTGCACACCAGAATGAATCCCATTTAATTGGGTTGTATGATCTTTTAATGCATTGCTGAATTTGGTTTGCTAATATTTTGTTGATTTTTGCATCTGTGTTCATTAGGGAACTCAGTCTATAGTTTTCTTTTTTTGTAATGTTTTTCTCTGGTTATGGAATCCAGGTAATGGTGGCCTCATAAAATAAGCTTGGGAGCCTTCTATTCTCTTGAATTTTTTGGAATAGCTTGAGAAGGTGCTAATTCTTTTTTGAATTTTTGGTAAAATTCACCTGTCAAGCCATCTGGTCCAGGACTTTTGTTTGTTGGTAGGTTCTTTTTTTTGTGTTTCTTTTTGTTGTTGTTGTTGATTATTATTATTATTATTATTATTATTATTATTATTATTGGTTCAATTTCATTAGTAGTAATCAGCCAGTTCAGATTTTTCTGTTTCTTGTGGATTCAACCTTGTAAGATTGTATGCTTCTAGGAATTTATCCAATTCTTCCAGATTGTACAATTCTTTGATGTAGAGTTGCTCATAGTGTTTTCCTAATTTTTTTTTGTTTTGTATTGCTGTGGTGTTCGTTGTCATTTCTCCACTTTTATTTCTGATTTTATTTATTTGAGTACTCTCTCTTTTTTTCTTGATGAATCTAGTTAAAGGTTTGTCAATTTTATTTATGTTTTCAAAAAAAAGCAGCTCTTGGTTTCATTGATCTTTTGTGTTGTTTTTTAGTCTCTATTTTGTTTACTTCTACTCTGATTTTTATTATTTCTTTCTGTGTACTCAGTTTGCATTTTGTTTGCTGTTCTTTTTCTAGTTCCCTTAAGTGTAAAGTTAGACTGCTTATTTGAGATTTTTCTTATTTCTTGAGGTAGACCTTCATTGCTATGCATTGCCTTCTTAGGACTGCTTTCACTGTCTCCCATAGATTTGGAGTCATTGTGTTTCATTTTTGTTTGTCTCAGAGTATCTTTTGATTTCTTCCTTGATTTCATGGGTTTGTGTGTTTTCCAGTTTTTTTCATGTAACTGATTTCTAGTTTCATACCATTGTGGCCAGAGAAAATGCTTGATATGATTTCAATCTTAAATTTATTCAGGCTTGTTTTGTGGCTTAACATGTGATCTGTCTTGGAAAATGTTCTTCCATGTGCACTTGAAAAGAATGTGTCTTCTGCTGCTTTGGGATGAAATGTTCTAAATATATAAATTAAATCCATCTAGTCTACTATGTCATTTAAGGCTGCTGTTTTCTTGTTGATTTTCTACCTGGGAGATATGTCCTTTGGTATTAGTGGAGTGTTAAAGTCCCCTACTGTGGTTGTGTTACTGTCAATCTCTGTCTTTATGCCGGTCAATATCTGTTTTATATATTTAGGAGCTCCTATATTGGGTGCATAGATGTTTACTAGGGTAATGCCTTCTTGTTTGAATGGTCCCCTTATCATTATGTAGCGTCCTTCTTTGTCTTATTATAGTCTTCATTTTAAAGTCTATTTTGTCCAATATAAGTATTGCTACTCCAGCTTTATTTTTTGGTTCCATTTGCATGAAATATCTTTTTCCATCCCTTTTCCTTTCAGTCTATGTGTGTCTCTCAATTTGAGGTGGGTCTCTTGTATACAGCGTATGCATGGGTCTTCTTTTCTTATCCATTCAGCTATCCTATGTCTTTGGATTGGAGCGCTTAATCCATTTACATCTAAACTGATTATTGATAGGTGCATAGTTATTGACATTTTTTTTTCTTTTGTTTGTTTGTTTGTTTCCTCTCTTTTCTTAAAGGAGGGCTTTTAACATTTCTTTTAATATGGCTTGGTGGTAATGAATTTCTTTAGTTATTTTCTTGTCTGGGAAGTTCTTTATTTCTCCTTCAATTTTAAGTGATAGCTTTTTGTGTAAAGTAGTCTTGGTTATAGGGCCTTGTTTTTCATCACTTTGAATATTTCCCAACACTCCCTTCTGTCCTGCAAAGTTTCTGTTGAGAAATCAGCTGATATTCTTATGGGAGCTCCCTTGTAAGAAACTAGTTGTCTTTCTCTTACTGCTTTTAGGATTCTCTCTTTGTCCTTAACTTTGCCATTCTAATTATAATGTGTTTGGTGTGGGTCTGTTTGGATTCATCTTGTTTGAGACTCTCTGCACTTCCTGGGCTTGTGTGTTTATTTCCTTCACCAAGTTAGGAAAGTTTTCAGTCATTATTTGTTCAAATAATTTCTCGTTCCCTTGCTCCCTGTCTTCTCTTTCTGGTATTTCTATGATGCGAATGTCTTTATGTCTGATGTTGTCCCACAGGTCCGTTGTACCATCTTTGTTTTTTAATTCTTTTTTTCTTTTTGTTGTTCTGATTGGGTGTTTTCTGACACCTTGTTTTCTAAATTAATGATCTGATCATCTGCTTCATCTAATCTGCTATTGATTCCTTCTAGTGTATTCTTCATTTCAGCTATTCTTTATTTCTGACTTCTTTTTTTATGGTTTCCATGACCTTCCTTATGCTTACTATCTCTTTGTTGAAGTTCTCATTAAGTTCTTAAGCATTATTGTAACCAGTGTTTTAAACTCTGTCTCTGTTAGTTTGGTTACCTCCGCTTTATTTAGTTCTTTTTCTGGAGGTTTCTCCTGTTCTTCTATTTGGGACATGTTTCTTTGTTTCCTCGTTCTGGCTTCTTCTCTGTGTTTGCTTCCATGTATTAGATAGATCTTCTATGTCTCTCAGTCTTTGCTGGTTGGCCTTCTGTAGTATGTGTCCTGTGCGGTCCAGTGGCAGTCTCCCTGATCACATGTGCATGTGTTTCAGTAGTGTCCCTGTGTGTGTTGTGTGTATTTTCCTGATGTAGTTGAGCCTTGATTGCTTTTGGTGCGTCAGTGAGTAGGATTGACTTCCAGGCTGACTGGCAGTCAAGACTGGCTATGCCCACAGTGTATGAGCTGCTGTGTGGGGGCTGATTCTTCAGAAGGGGATTTACCCCAGTGACCTCTTGTGCCTGTTGAGATCATTCTTTGGGTGAGCCACTTGTGGGCCAAACAAAGTAGTGCTATGGTATGGTCTGAAGCCAGCCTCTGGGTGTGTTGTTTCTGATATCTCTTGGGAGGGGCTCCCATGCAGGCCTACTTCATCCTTGCCTGTAACTGGCCCTGGGCTACCTGGTAGGAGCCACAAAGCTATATGTGCTTGGTTGCTGCCTGTGCTGGACCTGGAGACATGTGGGCATGGCCTTGCTGTGAAACAGGGCCAACTTCTACCAGTATTAGGCCTAGACAGCTTAGCAAAAGGCTCAGGGCCACCCTAGGCCTGTTGCACCTGCCAGGTGCCCGTAAGGCTCAACTGTTGAAAGAACGCCTTTAGATGTGCAGGCTGGGCGTTTGACCCACTATTGAGAGTGTCCCCTGAGATGTAGGTCTAGTTTGGCAGGGCAGAGTCTCAGGGAGTCACAAGGCATGGCTGGTGGTTTTACAAAGTTAATTCAGTTTCAGTATGTGCACCAGTGCTGAATCTGTTATCACTTTGCAAAACGACCTGAGAACATCTTGGCCAGCCACCACTCGCCTGGGGCCCACAGATCCCTGAGAGCCACCCAAGAGAGGCTGCAGAGAAAGTTGTTGCTGAATGCCCACCACTGAAATTTCTCCAGGCCATCTCCACCCTTCCATTGCTGTAAAGAACTTCCACAGCTGTGGGGTGTGGCTGGCCTCCCAGGAGCTGAGAGTGTCTTCGGTGATGCAGCACCAGCTGGACTGGGTGGGGGCCCACGGTGTCATCAAGGTGGTGCATGCCCTCAGATTTTACCAGACTAATGCATTTTCAGATTTGACCCTTTGGGGGAGGGTTCAACATAGAAAATTTGGCGCCCTCCTGTAGGGTGGAAGTGAGGCAGGCTCTACACAGAGACAATGGCGGCTGTCCCTTCAGCCCTTGCTCCGAAACCACACAACTCAATCTTTCTCCATATGTCTCTGGTACCTCTCGAGTTGCTGCCCCTCCACTGGAGCTGAAGTGTTTGCAAGCAAGTGAGTCTATATGTGGGACCTTTAAGAGGAGGTCTGGGTTTCCAGCTGCCTCCACCTCACCTGGACTGATGGAGTCTTTGCTGATTTTCACAGCCAGCTGTTCTGGGGACTCCTCTTCCTGGCACAAGACCCCTGGGGAGTGCTGTGTGGTTCTGGAACCCCTCCCTCTTCAGATGGGACCTCCACCATGAAGGTGTCCCTCCTGGATATTCAACCACTACCTGTGGGTTTGGGGTCTGCCCATCTTGCATCTCCACGCTTCCTACCAGTTTCAATGTGGCCTTCTTTATATCCTTAGTTATAGGGATTCTGTTTAGCTAGTCTTCAGTTGGTTCTTGAGGTTGATTGTTCTTTGAGGTTGTAATTTTGATGTCATCCTAGGAGGCAGCAAGCATACTGTTTACCTAATCCACCATCTTGGACCTTCTCCTCGATATTGGGTCTTTTAAAATGTATCATAAGTGTATTTTAGGAAATAAATCATAAATTGATTAATGGTAATTGCAATTCTTTTTTCATAGGGAGACATTTTTAACTATGAGATTTAAAAAGGAACATGCACAAGCTGTGTATAATCATCTCATTAGTGAAAGAAAAAACTGTAAAGAGAGAATCTATGAAGAAGAACAGAGATACAGAATTCTCGTTACCATGAGGCAACAAACTCTGGATCGTATTAAAGTGAGTATTACTTTTTGACTGTTTCAGAATGAAGGAAATACAGTGATAGTCATAATAGCAGCTAGTTTGAGGAATTCACTTTTCTTCTTAAAGTAGCAAAGATGTGTAGATTTTAAAAATAAATGTTAGCATAATAAATGTGCAACTTGTCATTTTTTCTTCTATGTAATTATAATTATTCATACTACATATTATACTTTTCAGTGCATTTTATGTGCACTCTCATTTTTTATTGCACTTTTATTTTGAAGGCTACTGATATAAAAGTATAGGTTATATTTATTCCAGAGCCACTTTTGTATTTTTAATGAAAGATGTGAGCATAGTTACATTTTGTTTCTGAATAAACATACTTTGAATATTTACCTACCACATTTTTGAAAAATAAGAATATTTCATGCTCTTTTCTTTTAGAAAAATTGTGCATATGTTTGCATTTCACTGTAAACTTACTAATTAAAAACAGGGAAATTATATGATAAAATATATATTTTTAGATCTCACTATTTGTTAAACTTTATATAGCTGTGCATATTAAATTTTTATATAGAATATGACTAAGTGATATGCATTTACTGAAGTTATTCCTATACTATTTTACATTTTGTAATTATTTTTGTTATATTTAATTGCAATAATAAATACCATGGTTTTTTCCCCCAATATATTTATAAATATTAGGTATGTATTTTTGAGAAACACAGTGGGAAATTACTTCTACAAAAAAAAGAATTCTGCAAGATTTTATTAAAACTATTTCCTACAAAACTTTTAAAGATTTCTGTAATATAATATACTTTTATCAGCTATTTTGTATACTGATATTTATATATTAAATATATATTTAATATATTAATATATATTTAATATAAGTAATTGTTTTTTCCTTTTTATATTTTCAATAACATTGCTAATATACTTTTTAAAAAGATTATTTGGAACAAATATACATTGAATAACGAAGTATGTGTGAATGAACATATCATCTTTAATGCTAGCTTTAATACCATAAAAATTATTAATGAAATATCAATAGTTTCATTAATAATGGTGCTAAGTAATTGTCTTTCATTTGAAATATAACTGCTACATAGAAAGAGGTTTTGTTTTAGCCTAAAAATCTGACAATAATTGGTGCCATCTAGTGGCAATAAATGATGCCTCTTCTTGGAGGAGTTCCTGGAACATAGATTTGTGATGTATGTATAGCTGGGGAAACAGACTCAAATACACCCCTCAACACAAGAAGACTTAAGTTATTTGCTGACTTAAGTATCATTCTGCAGCACATATTTTATCACAGCAGTAGAATTAGCTGTTTGAATTTAACCACATTTTCCAATTGTACTGGTGCTGAGAACACAGTGGGATTTCAGTAATCATTTATTGACTAGCATTTCAACACTTTAATGGAACAATAATAAGTAGTGAAATGGCAAAATATGGTCAGCAGGAGAGAGACAAAGAAAAAATCCTGTTTAACTAGCCTCTCAGTAATTGAGATTTGTACTTCTTTTCATCCGAAAACCTATCTCTGTCTTCCCATTCTGACGTGTACCTATCCACGTTCACTTGGATTCATCCCTTTTTTTTCTTAGCACCAATCTTTTTCTGAATTTGTTTTGTTCATTCATTTTTACTTGTTTTTTGTCCACCTACATTCTGCTGGAGTAATGTATTCTTTATGAGGAGAGGAGATTTTCCATCACATTTTCTGTATCCTAAAAACTCTGAACTATGCTTGGCACAAGGGAGGCATGCAGTAAATACTTGTTGAATGGCTGAATAAATAAATGGATGAACATATCCTTATTCAGTAATTTTGCTGTAAACATGTATGATAATGGCTAAAAGCCGGAGCATTTCAGAGATACTTTCCATACTGCACCAGCCTGATGTTTTAGCGAATACTCATGCTGTGTTCAGAAGCTAACCCTCCCTCTCATTCTCTCTCTCCTTGATAATACTTGAGAAATTTAGTATTTAGTCTGTTCTCCCTAGGTGAAAATGGTTAAATTGTCTATTGCTTTCTAGTAATTAAGAATTCTGGTAAATATCTCAATAATGCTTCCCAAATAACCTTGAATTAATAAGAAATTGTCTCTTATCAGTGCTTGCGTAACTCTTTGTTATACATTCACCTTATGTGATCAGAAGCAGAGTTTGAACATGCAGAGTTTAGAGATTGACACATCTCATCATTAGTGACACTGTTTATTATTAGAATCAGTTATTGGTGTTAAAGAGTGGAAGACAAAGAGAAAAACAGTTAGTTGCCTACAAGGGAGCCCCCATAAGACTGTCAGCTGATTTCTCTACAGAAACGTTGCAGGCCAAAAGGGACTGCATGAAATATTCACTGTGATGAAAAGCGGGACCTACCACCAAGAGTACTCCACCCAGCAAAGCTATCATTTAACACTCAAAGACAGATACAGTTTCCCAGACAAGAGAAAGCTAAAGAGTTCATCACCACCAAACCAGTTTCGCAAGAAATGTTAAAGAGATTTCTCTAAGAAGAGGAAAAAAAGATAAAAAATATGAATAATAAATGGCAATAACTACATATCTATCAACAATTATTTTCAGTGTAAATGGATTAAATGCTCCAATCAAAAGACATAAGGTGACTGAATGGATAAGAAAACAAAACTCTTACATACGCTGCCTACAAGAGACTCACTTCAGATAAAAAAACACACACAGAATGAAAGTAAAGGGATGGAAAAAGATATTTCATAAAAATGGAAATGAAACAAAAAAGCTGGGGTAGAAATACTTACATCAGACAAAATGGACTTTAAAACAAAGGCTATAACAAGAGGCAAAGAAGGACCCAGTAATCCCACCTCTGGGTGTTTATCTGAAGAAACTGAAAACACTACTTTGAAGGACTATGTGTATCCACATGTTCATTCCAATAGCCAAGATATGGGGCAACCTGGGTGTTCATCAATGGATGGATGGATAAAAAAGAGGTAGTACATATACCATGGACTATTACTCAGCCACAGAAAAGAATGAAATCTTGCCATCTGCAACAATGTGGATGGCCCAAGAAGGTATTGTGCTGAGTGGAGTAAGTCAGAGCAAAACAAATGCCATATGATTTCACTTACATATGGAATCTAAAGAATAAAATGAATAAACAAAAGAGAAACAAACTCATAGATACAGAGAACATTTTGAAATTTGCCCGATGGGAGGAATGTTGGGGGGGGTGGGTAAAAAAGGTGAAGGGGTTACGAAGTACAAATTAGTAGTTACAAAATAGTCATGGGGATGTAAAATATGGCATAAGGAATATAGTTAATAATATTGTAATAACTATTATGATGTCAGATGGGTGCCCAATTTATCAGGGTAATCACTTCATAAGTTGTGTTGATGTCTGATCACTGTGTTGTACACCTGAAACTAATATAATGTTATATGCCAACTGTAATTGAAAAATAAAATAAAAAGTTTAAAAAAATAAAAAAAATATTTAAATGTGATTCTTCATAGAAAACCTATTCTCATCCCATTTAAGAAATTGGATAAGATAAAACTTTGTAAATGTTTGTGTAAGGTAAAGCATTGCCAGAAAGAAACAAATCTTAGTAGGCATTATTGTAAATGTGGTGTTACTATTCTGAGGTATCCCCTCTGGGTAAAACAGTTGATCACAATAATGGATCACCTGAAAGAATTGGTTAATAAAATCCTTGACAAAAGCCACAATGGAGTTAATTGAGGACTGAGGAAACACACCATAGAATTAGAAATATAAACAGCTAATAAAATAGTTTAAGAAAAAATATGCACCAAGTTCAGATGACATATGCATACAATGTGGTTTTGGAATTAAATTCAGTCATTTTCATTAGACAATTCATTTCAGATATCTTTAAATGACTGACTTGTTTAAATATTATGGAGATTCTACTAACTGCCTATAATTTGCAAATGCAATTCCTTAAGATTAAAATTTCAGTATAGCACCTAAATATATTAAGCAAATACTAACAGATATGAAGGGAGAAATAGACAGCAGTACAATAATAATAGGGGACTTCAATACCTCAGTTTCAACAGTTGATAAATCATCTAGACAGAAAATCAATAAGGAAACACTGAATATGAACTGCACATTAGACAAAAATAGGCATATGTGGAACATTCCATCCCACAGCATCAGAAGACACAGTCTCCTTAAGTGTACATGGGACTTTCTTCAGGATAGAACATATATTAGGTCACAAAACAAGTCTTAACAGAAGTAAGAAGATTGACGTTATATGAAGATTTTTCCAACCACAATTGTATGAAACTAATTACATGAATTGTATGAACTAATTACATACTAATTACATACTAATTACAAACTAATTACATACTAATTGTATGAAATTAATTACAGGAGGAAACATGAAAATTCACAAATATGTAGAATTTAAACAACACGATCCCAACAAACCAGTGTACAGCCTTCAGAGCCCCAGCCCTAGTAGTCACCAAGCTAAGTATAAAAATGCTGAGAAATAATAATGTAGCAACTTGTATACTGAGATTCTGTCTTCAGATGTTCTCTAACACTTTTCTTCAAAGCTTTTATGAGCTCCCATGGCTTCAACAATCAATCTAATGGTTGACTCACTGATCTATTCCAATTTTACTCCTTCTTCCAACCTCTGTCTCCACATGGTAGATTATTAGGTACATGTTTCCACTTACGTAGTCTCTATCATGTCCAAAACAGATCCTCTCAACAAAGCCGGTCATGAAAAATTATTTTCATTATAAATGCCGCCATAATTCTTCCAGTCAACTAGTAACATACCACCTCCTGTATATTCTGTCCTTTTATTTGCACATCACATCCAATTTGACACCCGTCTCTATTCAGTCTCTAACCCTCATTCCTTCTCATCATTTCTCTTTGATTACAAAAGCACTTTCTTATAACTTATATCTGCAACCTGTGCTTTTATTTCACTTCAGTTCATTCTACAGAGTAC